CTAGCATGAACTTTTGAGGAGAACTGATCGTGCGCAGCTTAGATTACAAGATCCTAAAAAGAATTTCAGAGAATCAGCTTAAATCATTAGCGACTGGACTCCAGATGAGATCTATGAAGAGGCAATAATAAAAGCTAAGTCTCTTTGTGAAAAATGGGGTACTGATACAACAATTCGCGTCAGAGGACGCCGAAAAATGCCGGGAAAATTAGCTAGAGATGTTGTCCTTTCCACAGAAATTTTCCAAGAAACTAAAATTTCTCGGGTGATAGAAAATATTCCTAATCATCTGTAGCAGGAACAATGCAGGATTTACACGACTAAGTGATTTTAATTCCAAATTTGGATATTTACTGGACGTTGAAAATTTATTAAACAATGCTCATAACGTAGAAGAATTGTAAAGAATTTGGATGAACATAGATGAATATAGATTTTAATGGAACAGAACTCTAAGTCGAAATATGTGACTGCAAGATGTTATTTGGCAGTAGAGAAGAAACTGAACATGAAACTCTATTAGAGCTTATTACCTTTATAATCTCGTGTGAGAAAATCTTTTCCAAACCTGAGAGTCGAGCTTCAAATACTCCTTACAATTTTAGTGCTAGCTGTGAATGTTCGTTCAGCAAATCAAAATTAATTTTCGCGCATCTGCGATCAACGATGGAACAAGATCACTTAAGTGAGCCTAGCATTTTCAAATGTGAAAAGAGAAAAATTTTAAAAAAAAATCTGAAATTTTTCAGATTTTAAATTACGTCCAAAGGGGCGTTTTTTTAACGTTTTGAGTGTTACCTTTATTGATTAAATATCATGTTCTTTGCACTTAAACCATAAAATTCAGTTCAAGAGCAATATCGCAAAATAATGTTAAATTAAGCATATCTTTAGAATTTCCGATATACACAGTCTCGCGAGCTGGAGATAAAAGTATTTTTTTTTATATATAACGTTGCCATTTCTCGATTTTAAAGCATTGAGTTTGTAAATCAAAAATTCGTTAAAGTTTTACAAAATATAAAATCTATAATAAAACAAATTCCAAATTTGGGATTTCAGATGCCCATATTCGCAATAGGATTTCGTCATTCAAAATTCGATGTCTCTATGTACCATTGTTTTATCACAATGCGAGAAATAGACAATCGTTTATGCAGATTTTTCATTATTTAATTTCTTCAAATATAATGCAGGACTCTAACATTTTGTGGCAACAGTTTGAAAAGTGAACCGACGTTTATGAGTCCGACGCAAAATGCCAAAACGAAAGCAATAGTCCTTCGGGACTGAAATCCCTTTGGACTAATGATCGACTTTGTTAAAGTAATTGATAGATTTACTTCATCAAAGGTGAGAAAAAATGTATACATAAGTAATTTAAAGTATTAACGTAAAATAGTATTATATTATTATTAATAAATGTATAGACTTATATATAACATATAAACTTTCTATTGTTTAAAAGGTGTATTTTTTTAAAACAATTACATAACTATGTAAAATAAATAATATGTTTTTAAATAATCCTAGACGAGAGTATGTCTGATTTTTCTGCTGACACAGACACATTTCCTAATGCAGTCCTAGCCTTGATTTTTTAACTACATTTTTTGTCTCAAATTTAAAGCCTAACGAGCCTGTTATCCTGAAAAACTGTTTACCATTTAGCCCGAAAAAGTGTATCGCATTTTGTCGACGTTTAGTTATTCGTAATGACAGTGCATTTTATCATCATTCCAAAGGGATTTGAGTCCCGAAGGACTATTACTTTCGTTTTGGCATTTTGCGTCGGACTCCTATAAATGTCGGTTCACTTTTCAAACTGTTGCCACAAAATGTTAGAGTCCTGCATTATGTTTGAAGAAATTAAAAAATTAAAAATCTGCATAAATGTATGTATATTTCTCGCATTGTGATAAAACAACGGTATCTAGAGCCATCCAGTTTTGAATGACATAATCCTTCTGCGAATATGGGCATCTGAAATCCCAAATTTGAAATTTGGAATTTGTTATATTATCGATTTCATATTTTGTAAAACTTTAACGAATTTTTGATTAACAAACTTAAGGATTTCAAAGCCAGCAATGGCAATGTTGTACAGAAAAAACATTTTTATCTCCAGCGCGTGAGTCTCTTTATCAGAAATTCTAAAGATATGCTCATTTCCAAACTATTTTATGATATTTGCTGTTGAACTGAATTTTATGGTTTAAGTGCAAAGAACGTGATATTTAATAAATAAATTTTAAAAAAACGCCCCTTTGGAAGTAACTTAAAATCTGAAACATTTCAGATTTTTTTTTTTTAATTTGTATTTCATGTTTACATTACGATTATATTCTATATATTATATTATACTATCTTTTTTCGGGAGAGGGCACTAAAAAGGTATCGTGTCCCGGGCTCCAGTTATGCTTGCTACGCCGCTGCTCATGCCTTGAAAAATTCCAGATTTAGGTCTCCATTGTCCTATAATGAACACATGTGACTGCAATGTGAGTTTTTATCATTTCTTGAAGATATGTTCCATACAGTCCATTTTGAAAACTATAGTTTGGCCTAACAGTGTTATTAATGGAGGGTGTTATAAAAGTAAATGATAAAGAATATATTTCGCAACTGATTTGTTTAATTATGAATCACAACTAAACTCTTCGGAGAAAAGAGGAAATCTGAATCTTGAATTTTGAATCCTTACGGAGATAAAATATTTGGAAAAGTTTATGGAGATAAAATGTTTGGCTGCAAAATTGCTGGAAATTATTTTGATGATAAAAAGTGATTTCACTCATAACTAATCTGAATGGAAAATACTACTATTGTTGGTATATTATCGAAAATACTATTAATTAGCGATATGCCATGGACGGATGGAGAACATTCTGGGCTAAACCAGTACGAATTCGTTCCAGAAGTTTCTCCATCCGTCTGTGGCATATCGCCAATTTTCTCGCCAAATGTGGCAACCCTGTCTTCTTTTGCCATTTTCTGGCAACCCTAAACCTGCTTTGAGGGGAAGCTATCTTATCGTACCTGTACATTTCGAAACAGTATTTTTGCAAAAACGAACTCTTGGGGAGAGAGGATGGAAATGGTATATATTATTATTTATTACTTCAAAGAATAATCCATCATTAAAAATATTAAATTTTAACAATATTGAAACACATTCAAGCATTTCGCTACACCTTTTAAGAAATGTCTGCTGTTACTACCTCGTGAAAACTAAATTTTTATTGAATGAATAAAATTAAAACTTAATTCATAGAAGGAATTCAGTTTTAAGAGGCCCCCCAAATTTTTCTTGTACTTCGTTTTAACTTAAATGGCGTAGATAGAAAATTGTTTTTCGAGTATAAAATGCTACAGAAAACTGTCAAAATTTTTTTAAAAACTAAATAACCGTTTGAATAAAATTAAAATTGAAATGCGTATAAAGAGTTGCAATTTATTCTTTACTTAAAAATTTGATCATCACAATTCGGTTTTAGTTTGATGACTGTGTACAGAATTTCTGCATATTACAGATTATTAGAAACATATTTTGTTCACCCCGCTTACGACTAAAATAAACTCCTCCGATCGTACAACGGTAAGCATTGCTGGTTACCATATTATTGAGCCCAGGTTCTAAATTCGAAGATAACCTCCATGTTTGTTGTAGTTTCTGTAAGACATGGGAGCACTTAAAGTAAAGGAAAGCCGGAAAGCCTCTCGAAAGGTTTGGTGATAGAAAAGAACGGATGCAACCCCTGTGTTTTGTGGACAACGGAGACGAAGCTTCCCCGTTGCCATGTCTGTAAAATTAGTCGCTTCCTGTGACTTTTCCTGACGAATGCATTAAGTTACAAGTTTCCGGCCATTTGAAACAAAAACAATATAAATCAAAATGACTGTGGAATTATTTAGAAATTAATTAAAGGATACACCGTCTTCTCTTGATGAGCAATACACTTATAAAATACTGAAGGCCCATGAAGAAGCTTATACGTCGTCGATTGGCGATAACAATCCTTTACCTAATTATGTAGGTTCCCCAGATATAATCTAACGTTTTTAAGCATTAACAGAAAATCAGATTTGGAGTCTTTTAGAACTTTTCAACGTCAGGAAACTGAAGAAATCCTCAATGCCCTGGCCGGGATTCGAACTCCGGTCCTCATTAATATACGTCGAGGAAAGGAGGAAGAAAATATCTTATATATTCCGCTTTTAAAGGGCGACTCGGGATTACTGACCAAATCCTGGTGGTGTCGAATTATCGTCCCCCACCTTTTAGTTCGGGCTTATAGAATAAATTATTATATTTTAAGAATTCTTTTGAATATGTTTTTTGAAATATTCAAGTTTTGAAAACGATAAACAAGAGTATATATATGAGGGTAAAATTTTAAATCAATTCATTTATATCTATTGTTGTAGACGTCTTTTGAAAATAAGTGTTCCGAAAAACAAATAGAAACCACAATGTATAGAGGTTTCTGCATTCATATATTTCTAACGCTTATGTTTCACACCATGTAAATATCAGCTTTAATATATTTTAAAATGTTTAACTGCAATCTAAATAATAAAATTACTGAAAGCACTTCTCCCTTGATTAGCTGAAGGAAACAATATACTTTTTTAAACTTTCCTGTGTATTTTATTTTTTTAACTTTCTAAATGATACACGAAGAACTACTGTGCAATATTCTCTTTTCATTCAGTGCCCTAAATAAACCTAAACTGAATCAAATTCTCTTATAACGTTTTTCAAAATGATAAGAACATCTTTTGAAGCATATCAATTGCTTTGTACAGACCAGAAACTTTCTTCTTCAAAATGAACAACCCATTAAATACTTCCAGAACACTTAAACCCTTGTTGGCACGAGCTAAAGATAAAACAAATGAAACTCTTCTAAGCTTTGAAGAGAATCTTGAACAAGAAACGAAGAAGAACTTATGAGTAAAACAAATCCATCTCATGTTAGAAAAAGAATTAAGCCTACTTTGAAGGAGGATTACATCTTCTGTTCTAATGGCTTGTAACCGCAGGTGAACATGACTGCCACGAACGAACGGAATTCCGAAGCCTAGGAAACGCCAGCGAAGAGAAGTTTTTGTGAGATTAGATTATATGGCTGGGCTGCCAAGGCAATGAAGGTTTTGCTGGAGTGCCCAGATAATGAACTTACGCTGTATCTTCAGTGATTTTTTTTTTTTACAGGACGAAGTATTCTAACTCAGCTCAATATCCATTAGCTCAAAAATATTCCACCATCAATATACTTTCGGTCGTTTGGCTTAACTCGCCGTTCGGTGAACTGGGCAATTGTTTTAATCGCGAAAACATTTAATCTTCTCTATTTATTATAGAAAAGAAAGTGTTATTTCCATGTAAAAAATAATCGAATAGCATTCAAATAAAATACGAACTTCGCAAAGGAAAATGAAAGAGACTTGCCGAATTGCCATTTCGGAGAAGCTAAATCTTTTACTTTCGATTAAAGCAGTTAAAGCAGAAAGTTAAAAGGCAGAAATGGAATAAATAATTAGTACTCAATCCACTGAAAAATTAATTTTCAATTTTATTTGCTCAATTTTTATCGTTGTGTTATTTTAATTTCTGAAGTTATAATTATTTTTAATTGATTTTCTAAACCAGAGATTTCAATTTTGATTAAAAACTAATATTTGGTTAAAATGAGCTGCAGCTTTTATAAATATGAGACGAAGTTCATAATTATTTCTGATGTTTTCAACGAACGTTAAAAAATTAATTAGCAAGACTTAAAAAAATACTATTTAGCAATATAAAAAAAAACTTTTTAGAAGCCTGAATGCTTTATTTTCTTAATATGGAATATGGGGAAAATATTAGATGGTATTAAAAGCAAACAATTATTCGCAAATTATTTCCGCTCTTGCGTTTTCAGAAAAATCGCTTTGTTTGCGTCAGCCAGTGGATGAGTTTCTTCTGCAAGATAGGCACACTTATTCAAAATGTTTCAAAGAAGAAAAATTCTTAAAATATTTTTATAGCCTCACAGAATCCATATATGAAAACACATGATAAATTAAACCTATGATATTTTAAATTAACTAATTCAACTTTTTAATTTAATAGTCATATTACGCAGTCATTTTAAATTATTCATCGGGTTTTGAAATTCTTTTATTTCCAAGTTATGAATAAATATTCTTGATATATATACGGTGGTGGCTCACAAAAATTATCGGACACTCATAATTTTTTAATTCTTTAATGAACATAAAATAAATTAAAACAAAAAGAAAGGTTTTATTTTTATTATATATCACTTCAAATTTTGTTTGTAGTAAATAAATTTTCAAAAAGATGAAAATTAAATTCGAAAATCAATATCGTTTGTTCAGTGAGAAAAAATATTCTCACAAAAATAATCGAACACTTTTAGTAACAGCCAAAAATGACAAAAACTTGAATTGTTTTTGCTTCTTAATATCTTGTGGGATTACCTATACACTTGATCACTTCATTTAATCTTTTGGGCACTGACTCCACAAGTTTATTTTTTAACTTATTTTATGCCATTCCTCTTGAATCACTGCTTTCAGTTGCTTCAACAAAGATATGCTCTGTTTTCGAATTTTCGATTCTAGTCCTGCCAAAAGTGTTCAATAGGATTAAGATCTGACGATTGCGGTGGTGCCTTAATTACTTCTGGACACTTATATAACAGCCAGAGTCTAACACTATGCACAGTACGCTTAGGATCATTGTCCTTGTAGAATTTAAAATTATTTTGTATATCAAATTTTTGTGCTGGCGATGCCAAATTTCACTTCAAGATCTCAAGGCACTTATACTGACTGATCTATAATACCATCTAACCATCTATAAACTCTATATATTACCAACACCAGAATGTGTCATAGATCCCCATACCATAAAGCCTCCTACACCGTGTTTAACACTTGGTACTAAGTTTTGCTTCCTAAATTCTTCTTTAGATTTTCTCCACACCAGCACTCGTCCATTTCAGCCGAAGATGTTAAATTTGCTTTCATCAAAAAACAACACATTTCTTCCAGTATTCGAGTGTCTTTTTGTTTCATCGATTCTGCGAAACCGAGTCGAATTTTTCGGGTTTTATTCTTACAATTTCTGCATTTACACATATTCCATATAATTCACGAAGTTTCGAACCAAATTTAGATGCACTTAATTTCGGATTATTTTTAATATTCCTTAGAATAAAGCGTTTCATTCCATTAGATAACTTAGATGATCTTTCAGGTCTTCTTTTGTTTTAAATATGATTTTGTTTCTTATAACGCTTAATAATACCAAAAACTGTAGAATTACTTAAATCAAATAAAAAGGGAATTTTTTCCAATAGATTTCCTTTTTGTTTGATAGAAATAAATCAGCAACTTATCTATGGGTTTCTAACGTTGTTTCCTTTTGTGACCGAGGCATTGAAAGAAAACAAACGATTTTTAGATTTTTGCCTAGCTTCTTTATCCAAGTTAATTCCACAAAATTTTGTTTTTTATTTATTTCAGACGATTTTAGTTAGAAATTATGGAAATTTCCGATTAATTTTGTGGTATCTTTTTTCATCCATTTCAGCCTAAAACGTTATTTTTTAAATTTATTGTTTAATTTTTTTCAAATTTATTTAGTACATAAGAAAGCTAAAATATGCATTCAAAGAAAAAATATTCTTTATTATTTTATTTTAAAGCTTTTCTCTTATTACTTAAAAAAAATAAAGGAATTATAGTGGCTGATCATTTTTGTGAGGTATTCTATATAAGTAAATACATTTCTGTCAGTAATTTCTATCATTTCTATAAGACTTTCGCAGATTTCTTGGAATGGCAGGGTCATGTAGATAAGTCATAGCAGTTAAAATTGTAAATTTTAAGATTTTTAACTTCTTCAATGATTTTTAAGATATCATAAATAATTCAGCAGAAGTTTTTGTCTTCTTTATCTTGCTCAAAAACTACGTTACAAACTTAAGTAAATTGGAAAAAATATTATAAAAATTCTTCTTGAAGTTTCTCGTAAAATTAGCGATAAATCTAAATTTTACAGGATATTTATGAAATTTTGGTAAGGCATAAAAGATTGGCAAATCTATTATTTGTAGTGAAAAGAGAAATTGTCATTTTTTGTGAAAGGCAGAATTTTTGTTAATAACAGTTCTTTCTTTATTTTTGCAGATACTCTAGTTGGTAGAATTTGGAAGTTCATTTTTAATTATATCATTGTAGAATTTTTTTCATAAAATACTGAAATTATTGTTTGCTTTATCAATTTTATTTATGTTAAATTGCTTTTTTAATTGTGAAAACTTTAAAAGTAAATTTTTCCAGCTTTTAATTCCTTGGATTTTCTCAATTTTCTTTTTGCTCTGAGTAATAATTTCATTTTTCCATTCTTTATATAGATGTAAAGGCAAACTAAGTTGAGAACTAACTTTCAAGATGAAATTATCAATATATGTATATAAGGTATTTTCCCCGCTTTTCTAGCGTGCCTTCGTGTTGTAGTGGTTCTGCATGCTGGGCCAGAGGTCCGTGGTTCGATTCCCGGCGAAGCCAATTGCTCATTTTCCTCTTTCCTGCTTCCAAAAAATCCTAATTTCTCTACAAGTAGAAACACTTTCTATGCAATGTAATTTAGGAATGAATTTAATAGCTCTAAACTTTGTTCCATTTTTCAAAAGTACTCTTTTATCTCGATTGATATCTAGATTTCCTGTTATAATATGCTTGTGCTTTTCGTCAACAAATGGTAGAAATTTTTCTTCATCACATAATCATGTTGCTGCAAAATCTTCTTCATTATGGTTAGAAATGAAACTACTTGGTTTTTTGTTGTACTTGAAGCAAACCGAAATTTTTGAATTTATTGAAGGAAATTTTTGTTGTGCTTGTTTAAAAATCTTGTGAAGATAATCATAATTTTTGTGTAGAAAGTTAATGATACAGAATTTTTTTTTAATTTTTGGAAGAAGCACAGTTGAATTTGAATTTTATGAAATCAAGTACAAATTTTTAATGAGCTTATTTCCTTCGAATTTATCTTTGACAAAATTTTGAATGATAATAAGATGTCTATGAGGTAGTGAATGAAGGTAATTAAGAATATTTTTCTTGAAATGTTGTTCTTCAAATAAATCGGGAAATTTTGACTGCATAATATTAGTATTAAGAGAAATTTTAACTTTTTTGCTATTTCTTCTGGTACTTCTTTGTTTTCTTTTACTTAAAGGACTGAATTGTTCGTAAACTGTAGCATAAAAGGCAGATTTAGTATTAAGACAAGAGTTTAATCCATAGGGATAAAGCGTTTTTAACTGCAAAACATATAGAGATTCTTTAAAAAGCCTATTATTAAGATTAGGTACTATATCTAAAATTTTGATAGTAATATTGTTAAAGTCGGGAATTTTAAAATGTACTACTTCTTTGGTAGTGGAATTATTACTATATTTGCTGTTTGAATTTTTTTTTAATGTGAGACGTATGGTTGTTAATTCTAATATTAAGATTATTCTTAGTTTGTCCTATGTAATATCCATTCTGTTACTCGGTTCAATGAGCTCAGTTTCTTTATTCTTATATGTTTGTAAATTGTGCCATTTATTTTATTAAAAATTATTGAATTTTGTTGTTTTCTTATCTTCCGATTTTTATTCCTCTAGTTAACCTGCATGCTATAATTTACAGCAATTTAAAAGTGGTCTAACTGCGGCTAAGCCTTTTTTTTTTTTTTTTTTTTTTTTGCCATAGCAGCCATATTTGTTTATATTTGAAACTTAGCAGAATAGTGGATTTGTTGCCAATCTAGAGAAACTAAGCATCACAACAAAAACGTAACGTCTTTTTTTATTATTGCGAATTAAATTATGATTAACCTATTCTGGAATTAACATTTAAGTTATTAAATTATCTCATATATTGACTCAGCATAGCATCCACAACAAATTCAGTGAGTTTCTACGCCTTCAGTGCCTTTTTGTCGAGTGAGACTTAAAGTAAACTTTAAGTTTTGTGCACGGAAAAATCTGCCCTCTTGCCCGCTGGTCGAATTGCTTGTTTTTGCGTAGAAACTGTAATTTTAATTATAATTTTTTTAAACTCTTTTAACTGTATTTGGTGTTTTATGTTTTTCTATCTCTTTAAATTTTTAATATAGATATTTTGAGTTTTTATGAACTGTTCTTACCTTGTCGCGAGTGAGAACTGAATTAATTGAAGGAGAAATATATCTGTAATGAAATTCGAGAAATAAGTTTAAATAAATGCAGGGGAAAATGCGTATAATTTAATATTCCGTACT